ACTATTTCGAATCGATCTGAATCTATATCGATCGATACTCCTATAGAGTAATCGATCGACAAAGAGTATATATGGATCGATGTTGCGACAGCTATATCGACCGATATTGTCGGCATCAGATCAATGGACGAGTCTATATAGCGACTGCTATTGGATTTATCTAAGATTTGAAGCTCTTTAATATCATGCATGCAACTTGTTAGGCATCTATAGCATTATAATCCTGATTACCTGAATAGAAACCCTAGATTTAGCAACCATCCTTCCATAAAACAAATCGTCGCCAAGCTGAACAATTACCTTGTTCATCTTGTTTACTGTTTTTAGTTTATTTACTGCATTATTACCCATTAGCCTAGCTTAATCATATAACTATTAGATCTAATTGGTTCCATAGCTTCTTGTGGATTCGATCCCTAAGTACTACAATTGAACCTCTTATTTGAGAGAGTAATTCACTCCTTAGGGTAATTTGAGTGATATCAATGTCTTAAACAAAAATCCTTGTCTGTTACCTCTTCACCACATAGTCTTAGTTTGTAAGTGATTTGGGTCAAAGCCAAATGACATTCCTCCACAGACTCAAAGTCTTGGAGGGGACGCTAAGACTCATCTATTCATGCCTGACCTTTGGTAATAACACCATTGTGTATCTGGATTTTAATTATATCCAAAGGTCATGAGGATTCTCTAAATGTAGGTACTGATTTCTCAGATCCTCACCCTGGATGATACTCATTTCGAGTACTCTTGATGCCAGGACAACTGAAATGTTCATTGCGCATTCTAACCAATTATCTCCAGAGAGGTTTGGGACATCAATATTCTCATATTTCGACATCTGAATATTTAAAGAGCATCTGAATTTCGACATCTGAATTTCGACATCTGAATATTTAAAGAGCAATCCAAGCTTTCAGAATTTTATGCAAGAAATAGAAGCCTTAATGCATATGATTTCAATATGGCGTTCATCCAAATCATATAATCTATTTGCTTAGGAAATTCTAGCATGAGAATTATCAATTGATCATTGCATTTAGAGATCCTTTAATCATAATTCAAATTGGATTGATTATATAGGGTATTAAGGCCCTTCTGAATAAGGATCAATCATCATTTTACTAAATGAGATCAAGCAAGATGGATGAAATCAAGCAAATGCATGGATTAAGAAATAGCTGAATGCATGTTTAGTTCTAAGCATTGGTTTTAAGCAATCTATATGTGATTCTTAATGCATGAGGGTATTTGGGTTAAAGAGCATTAAAATAAAACCGATTCCTTCACCCCATCTTTACCGGGTAAACCAAGACAAAGAAAAATTTATAATTTTCAGTATATGTCTAAACTAAATTCAATTAGATTTTCAATCATTCGGTTTCAAAACTGGTTTATGTTTTCAATGAAAACAAGCATGCTTAGTCCAAATATTAACTGATTTAATCTAATTAGGTGCAAGATGAATCAATTATATGCAAGCAATATGAACCAATTTAGATTTTAATTTTAAATGCACCATGATCAGAATGATCTATTATATGTATCTTTATATGACAAGCAGATGCATAGAAATGATCAGTTCATGATATGTGTATGATCTAACAATTTACTAATTTATGTTTGATCTACAAGATGCTGTCAGGTATGCATGTATGGTCTAATCAGAATATGGTTTAATCATCACAAAATATTGATTTTCAAGGATGGTTTTAGATCAAGAAAATTTTGACAAACAATTATGAGATCAAATGATTTCAAAACAGAATGTATTTTATCTTATGATATATTAATTTTAAATCAAGACTATAGGTTATAAAAATACTACCTAGTCAAAGATATGCATTTATAAAATCATAAAAGTTTTTAAAACTTTATCAGTTACGTACAAAACAAACATCAATGGTCAAAGATATGCATTGATTAGTATTTAAGTTTTGATATTAGGTTTGACTGAAAAGATTATGGCTGAAAATATTGTGGCCGGAAAAAGGGTCATGGCCGATGAAGAACACACAATGTCCGATTTAATACAAGGATTTTCAAGGTCCTTAAACTCATTATACAATCAAAAATTAACAGATAGAACAATTTAAACAAACCAGTGAGTCAGTCAAACAAATCGATTTCAATCAAAATAATTTTAGGGTTTATAAGAAATCGATCAAAATTAAGTTTTATGGGATGATCAACTTCAAAGTTTAAAATCGATTTGATCATTCAGATCAATGATGCTTTCGAGATTCAGCAAGCCATTGATGGCTGTGATTTTAATTGATTGACAATCTCTTGTTGGNAAATCGATTTCAATCAAAATAATTTTAGGGTTTATAAGAAATCGATCAAAATTAAGTTTTATGGGATGATCAACTTCAAAGTTTAAAATCGATTTGATCATTCAGATCAATGATGCTTTCGAGATTCAGCAAGCCATTGATGGCTGTGATTTTAATTGATTGACAATCTCTTGTTGGACTTAAGAGCTCCAACTTACTCAAAGGTATGGATCTATTAACCTAGGGTTTATGGGGGATTTGTAAATTTTAATTGGTCATAAACCTTTAACATCAAACCAAATTCGATTGTTTATGTTCTCTTTTAGAGTTTCAGACAGTTTACCTTTGTTTAGATAAGATCTGAAACCGGACCACCAAGAGAAAGACAGATCGTAGATGGATTAGGTTTTCGACGGCGCGGCTTAGAACGGGGTGAGAGCGCGTCTTAGATCGGATAAATATGAGGTTTGCGGCGCTGGATCCTTCGCGTCGAGAGATTCAAATGGATATGTGGATCGTCGTGTGAGTCCTTACGGTTAGAGAGATACGGTCGTTTGAAGTTGCGGACGAAACTAGGGTTTTGTGGTCTCCGGAACAAGGCTGAGCGCCGGAGGAGCTGGCCGGAAAAGAGGATCGCCGGGGGAGAGAGATTGCTCAGGTGTAGAGAGCTTTCGTGCTGATAAAGTGTTGTAAATTGAGTGAGAATGATTTGTGGTGAAAAATTTGTGTTTCTCATTAGCTATAACCACATATATATAGTGGTTTATACAAGGGTTTACAAGGAGGAAGATCTACACATTAAATACACATTGACCACATTGATTACAAGATATTCTACATAAAGACTTGGTCAAAGCTCATAATGGCAAAGGTTGAATGGGTCTCCATGTGGGCTGGTCTTGGATGCAATGTAGATGACTGGATGTAAACCTCCATGGACTTCCTCTTGTACTTTTTGGACTTGTTTTGTACTTGGTTAAGTACTTAGTTATTGGCCATCCACATAATGGATTTATAACAAATATTGTTTTTTTCTTGCAAACTCATTTCTTTTTCTTGAAAAATCATAAAATCATTTTTTTCATACAAAAACGTTTAAGTATTTTTCATGTAATAAACGCAAATTAACAAATGCATCTGAATGTATTTATTAACTTATGCATTTGTTAGTTTTTTTATTAACAAATCATCTGAAAGTAGATACGAATTAAAAAGACAAACAGACAACACATAGTTGCATTTATATAGATGCTTTAAATGGATGCACAACCCAAAATAAAAGTGAACAACATCGAGATGTAACATATGAGCACATATAGACTAGTGGCTATGAATTATGGTTTTACTCTTTGTTGTTCCTAGTCGACTTGTACGTCTCCTACCAACTCTAACGAGTATTGGTTAGTTTTTCATCTTATTCACACATTTTGTAAACCCACTCTCTTCTGATCAATAAAACCCGACAAAATAACCAACAATCTGTGTTTGTTTCCTTTTTTAAAACAAGTCCGAACAGACACAGATTCAACATTTTGTGTGTTTCTTCAACACTATGTATAGTTAATTACCCACTCTAATATGTATTCATTAGCAAACATTATAATGATCGAAATGGGTAATTTCGATCATCTTTACAAAAGAGCGTCAGGTAGTTTGGTCGAGTTTGGGAAGAATTGGACATGATCCATGACGCACATGCCTATTGTTCTGATCCTACGTGTGTTTTTATTGTCAACATTCGTTTTCATTAAACGAAAGCCTAAATGAGCACTTTACAAACAGACTCAAAATATATTTTAAGCCCATATAAGACCCAAACAAGAGATAAACATGAAAACTCTAATGACACGTTGTCATACACACGGCTTTGTTTCTTCAAAAGAGAAAGAAGAATGCGGTGCCGGAATCTTCTCGCCGGAAACCTTCAATCTTCATCTCTAACTTGTTTGAGGCTGTTTGCATATTATTCTTGTCTTCTCTCGCCGTCGAACTCAAAGTCTTTTTCTCTGGTTGCTAGAGTTAAGTCCAAAGAAAAGCTTCAATAGAACCGGAACGTTAGCCCTTGTGGCAACTCCGACTAAGTTTGATTTTGTCTTGAATCTTCAAAGCACGATCTAAATCTTAGATTTTGATCTTCTTGGAGACTTTACTCGAAACTAAAGAAAGCTTGACACCAACTCCGAATCAAAAGCTAAGCGTGTCTAGCAAAAAGAGAATCAAACTTTTCCTTCAAACGAAATATAAAATGAAACAGAAGGAGAAGAAACAGAAAGGAAGATTTATTTATGTTCAAAACCAGATCGGAAAAAGATAAGATTGATAATCAGGTCCGATTTGGATGAACTATTACACAACAAAATTGCCTATGCGAAAAATCACAATCGCCAAAGCGAAATTTACAATTGATCCAAAGATCGAAAAAAAAGAGAACTAATCTTTTTCCCTGGGAAAGATTTTGATCGGAGAAGTGTGCCAAAAAAAAAAAAAAAAAGATTTTGATCGGAGAACAGGGGAGAGAGATTTCTCTCTCTAGAGGAAGAGAGAGAACGCGACTCGATCCTACGTGTATTAATTTAGCTATAAAACATTTTTAAAATATACAGCACTTTATACAAGCATAATTAAATGTTTTGAAATTTTGAAAAGGTAAACACATTAGAAAAAAAATCATTAAATGGAAAGAGATATGACAACCGCGAGAGAGTCGTTGATCCTATAACCAACCAAACACCCATTGCACTAGTCTCTCTCTATAAGCTTAACCAAAACCATGAATCTTTCTTCTCCTTCATCGTTGTCCTCGCTTTCCGGGAGAGGCCATATATATAGATAGGCCTGATTAGGGTTTTCCTTTCATCCTCCCCCTGTTATGGCGGTAGAGAATCGTAAGGATCGAGGCGTTTCGTCTGAAGTCGCGATTCCTTCCGGTTTGAACCGGATCAAGACTCGGTTAGCTCCATCATGTCCCAGAACCGATGAATCCGCCGGTACCGTTCCAAAGCCTCCTCCTTTTAATAACCGTAAGCCCAAAAATTTTGCTCCTCTTGAACATGGCAAACCCAAGCAAGGTTTTTGTTTCTCTTATGATCACAGAAATAAATTAGGTTTCTTGGTGGTGATCACTATATGTATCAATAAACTTGTTTGTTTCAGATCATAAAGGAAAGAAGTTGTCAAGGTGGCTTGCTTCTTATAAACCCAAGTATTCTGTGAACCTTCACAAAGATTATGGTTGCTCAGGTGGTAGTGAGGTAAGATTTGGTTTTGCTTCTGTAGCAAGGGGCATTGGATTTGAAACTAACTGACCTTGTTTTGGTGACAGGATGTCAAGTCTAAAGTCAACAACTCTCACAAAGACGAGGAAAGGATGGTCAAGCATTCTGAAATTACCCTTTCTTCTCGCAAGGTGCAAATAGGTATAAAGAGCTTTTCACATGAGTTAGGGCCACGTGGTGGTGTTCAAACTTCTCACCCTCGTCCACACAGTTACAATGATCTCAAGGTGATGCTTGATACGGGAGTGGGTTTGTATTTTGATTTGTTTGGCTTAGTCTTACATTATTGAGTTTGGAGATGCAATGATATTCAGGAACTTTTGGGCTCACTTCACTCGAGATTTGATGTTGCAAAGGAGATTGTGGATAAGAAGCTGGATTCCTTTGTCATAGATGTGGAAGAGGCTATGGAGAAAATGGATCCATCATGCCCTGAAGATCGGGAATTGGCAGAGGAATTACTTAAGCTGGCTCAAACCTGTATAGAGATGACATATGCTCAACTTCGTGCTACTTGTGAATCTATTGTCCAAGACTTGACTAAGAAGATGAAAGAGTTTCAAGCAGGACTTGTGAAGTGGTTTGTCTCTCAGTTGCTTTTTATATTGACTCATTGTACAAGAGTTGTGATGTTTCAGAAGGAGACTGAGCCGATCGATGAGAATTCCTTCCGGAAATTTAAGGAATGTTTGGAAAGTATCCCTGCTCTGGAAACAAATTGGGTTTCCACTTCCAGAGCTGATGATTCTGGTTCTGGTTACCCTATATACCAAAGGAATGAAGCTGGGAAAAAGTTCAAGAAACAGGACAAAGAATCTTTGGAGTCAGAGGCTAGAGAAGGCTATGGAGCTTCTAAACAGGGATTTCAAATCCAGACACCTCATAAACTGGTGGAACAAAGATCTTATTTAAGCAATGAGTATCAAGATAAGATGTCAAATGAGTCTGGAAAAGAGTTAGGTGGATGGGATTTTGTAATCTGCAGAATATGCGAGGAAGAAGTTACTCTCTCCCATCTGGAACCACACTCTTACATATGTGCATACACAGATAAATGTGAAATAAATTGTTTGGATGTTGATGAGCGCCTTTTGAAACTTGAAGAGATACTGGAACAGATCATTGATTCACGAAGTTTAAATTCTTTTCCTCACGCTAGTGGACAGGAAAATTCGGTCCTGCAGAAATCTGGAATTGCATCTGAAGGTTGTTCTCCGAAGATAAATGAATGGCAGAACAAAGGTGTAGAGGGAATGTTTGAGGATCTGCATGATATGGACACTTCCTTCATAGACGAGATTAACACATTTCCTATTAACTTGAAGAGCCATGTAGGCGCTAAATTTGCCATCATGGCACTTCATCATCAACTGGTAGCATCACTTCGGTATCTTCAACAAATACCCCCAGAACAAGTCACTTTGACTCTTATTGGCTAGAGCGGCATAGTCCAGAGCAAGAGGATCTTCAACTGGTTAGTTTTCTGTTTCCACTATATTTTCTTTTTAGGCAGATACGGTATTTGAATTGAGGTTTCTTTTCAGTCTTTCTTGTATACTTATCTAGGTCATATCCTGATGAGTTTTGGGAATATAAACCGGTTCAAGTCAATCATGTGGCGTTGATCCTTAATTTATTTGATCAACAGATCTGTAGACGCTCAAAATTGTGTGGGTACTACTGATGCCATCAATGGGTTGAAAATTTCTCCATTGCTTCAATCTTTATGATTTTGTGTGTGCAAGGCGGGTCTCTATTTTCCAAATCATATGCAGATAGCATTTGTGTTTACCTGTTTCACTGATTTTTGTATAAAATATAGCAGTCCTTAACTGCTTATATTTTTTCTCATCTTGCAGATGATGGACCTTTCTGATATTGCGCGCTGTGGAGCAAGCACAGATCTCTCGAAAGAGGGTTCCTGTGACTATTTGCTTGCCTGCATGCAAGACATACAAGCTGTCTTGAAGCAGAGCAAGCTCAAAGCACTTGTTATAGATACTTTTGGGGGGAGGATCGAGAAACTTCTCTGGTAAATTCCCTATGTTTTAGAATTATGGCCGTGTCTGCAGCGATATATATATATATATATATAATAATAATAATACTGTGTTATACATATTATTAATTATGATCTTTTCTGCAGCGAGAAATATATGCATGCCTGTGATTTGATTGCTGATAAAAGTTCAACGGGCAATGTAAAAGAGAGTGAAAGTGTCTCGGAGCATGCCTCGCAAGGCTCCGCAATGGCTACTCCGCACTTTCTGCAGAAGGAAAGGACAAGCATCGATGACTTTGAGATCATCAAACCAATAAGCAGAGGTGCCTTCGGTAAAGTCTTTCTTGCACGTAAAAGAACAACTGGAGACTTTTTTGCAATAAAGGTAGGTGCATTTTTTTTTTTTTTTTGCTTTGTTGTAGATAGTGTTTATTTTGCTTTTGGTTGTTTCTAATATGCGTGATACTGTAAATCATATACTTCAGTGAAAGATTAAAATGTAAATATTGGCTAAGAAATAGTAGTGATGACTTCTATGACTGTAACAGAACAAATACATGTTTGCAGAAGGTTGATGCTAAGAGAGTTCTGCAAAGACTAAGTTAGATAAACTATCTCAGGGAATGCGTTGGAAGTTACATTTTCTTGTTTTGTTTAGGTGTATGATTATACTTTATTATCTTAATTTTCTGTTCGGGTTAGATATACAGGAGCTTTTTGTCGAATTTTGGACATTGGATTGACAATTCTCTCAAGTCATGAAATCGCCACTTGCTCATAGAAGTGAATCAGACTAGAAATTCTAGCTTTCTTTGTTGACATAGTTTCTGTATTGGCATTTGTTAAACTTCGGAGTCAGCTTCTCCATGTGCTAATCTTATGTCGCTCATATACAGGTACTCAAGAAGCTGGATATGATAAGGAAAAACGACATCGAAAGGATATTGGAAGAGCGAAATATACTTATAACTGTCAGATACCCATTTGTGGTAACATTTTACCTCTTTGCTACTGTCCAACCCAAAATAATCTTTCCGAAAGCTGAACACCTGGTCTTATTAATGCAGGTTCGGTTTTTTTATTCATTCACCTGCAGTGATAACCTCTACTTGGTAATGGAATATCTTAATGGTGGTGATCTATATTATCTGCTCCAGAAAGTTGGCTGTCTTGACGATGACATTGCTCGTATATACATCGCGGAACTGGTTAGTTGAAGGCTTCAGACGCATGGAATACCTAAGTTTGTGTGATTCTTAAAGAAACAATCATCGTTTATTTCAGGTTCTTGCATTGGAATACCTCCATTCTCTAAATATTGTGCACTGAGATATAAAGCCTGATAACCTTTTAATTTCCCATGATGGACACATCAAGGTCTGTTATCTAACCTCTTTGTGTACCTATTTCTTGCAGTAGGGTGGTCAAATTTTTTTTCCTTGATTCATACAACAAAAAAATAAATAAATCTCAAAACGAGTTTGGTCTTTACTTGATAAAAATGAGAGTTCTATTGTGTTCTTACAAAATAGGAAAATAACCATATGCTAATCTGTTTTCCACTGCGATTGTTGAATTTACTTTGTTGTGCTGTTTAAACATCCAGCTTGTTATTATATTTGTCACCAGCTGACAGACTTTGGGCTGTCAAAGATCGGTCTTATAAACAACACAATTGATTTATCTGGCCCTGAGTCAGATGCATCTCCAAGAAAAAGTTCTCGTCATTTTCAAAAGAGCAAAGAAGAAGAAAGAATTCGACATTCAGCTGTTGGGACACCTGACTACTTGGCGCCGGAGATTCTTCTCGGAACTGAACATGGTTTGCATACAACCTTGAAACGGAGATTCTTCTAAAGTGCGAAGTAATTATTTTTACCTTCTTGATGTGTGTGCAGGTTATGCTGCGGATTGGTGGTCTGTGGGAATCATCTTGTTTGAACTGATAACCGGAATTCCACCTTTTACAGCAGTCCGCCCTGAGGTGCCTACAACATTTTTTGGTCATAAATAGTAGTATCATAATCTTATGCATTAAAACAACATAAATCATATGTTCATTGTAGTCCAATGTCCCTCTCACAATAACCTTGAGGATTCCATATGCATATATATATATGATTGAACCATAGTAGCTATGTATTTCCATCTAAGCAACGAACTCTCTGAATAATTCATTTGTTATGGAGATGAGTTCTACGAACTTTTATCAGGCTCAAATTTTCTAATTATGCCTTGCAGATTATATTTGACAACATCCTCAACGGAAAAATGCCCTGGCCTGATGTGCCTGGTCAAATGTCATATGAAGCTCAGGATCTGATTAACAGGTATGTTTTCTCTTGACTGATTAACAGGTATGTTTTCTCTTGACTGATTAACAGGTATGTTTTCTATTCATGTTTTTTCTTAAGAAATTTTAGTATATTTCGAGCTGATGAATTACACCGATCCTAGTTTCTGCTGATGTGCCTGGTCTTTTGGCTTCACGCTTGTCTGTGTTAAGGAAATTTAGTTTCTCCATATGTATATAAATTCATTTTCTTTCGGTAATAGGCTTCTTGTCCATGAGCCGGAAAAGCGACTGGGGGCGAATGGGGCTGCAGAGGTTTCAACTACTTTCCCTTTACTTTTTATAAAGCCGCAGAACTGAGAACTGATGGCTTCTAAATGCATGCCACAGCAGTAGTTGTTTACTTAAATTTCTGGTCTCATTTCCAGGTTAAGTCACATCCCTTCTTTCGAGGTGTTGACTGGGAAAATCTTGCTATGCAAAAGGTAAGAACATGACTCCGCACCTGTTTTCTATCAAGACAGATTTGATAGACAAATTATTGTTAGTCGCCTGATGAAGAAAGAAACGAAAAAACATAAGCACTTATGAATGATCGAGTTGTTTCCATTTCTTGATTTCTTGGCAGGCTGCCTTTGTACCACAGCCTGAGAGTATACATGACACCAGCTATTTTGTATCACGGTTTGGTGAAAAGAGTTGCAGTGATTCTGATACTGACAACGACAGTGGATCATATCCAAACTCAGGAGATGAGGTAAACATCTAGGAAACTTGCATTTGTTTCTCTCCCAAGTACTTTCACTTGCAAACATCGGATCTAAAGCATATCCTGGTTTCGTCCGTTATTTTTAGTTGGATGAATGCACCAACCTGGCCGACTTTGATTCTCCACCTTACTATCTCTCATTCATAAACTTTTCTTTCAAGGTAAAATCTCTGCTTCCACGCTAACGCAGCTAAAATCCTAGTACAAAATCTCAATTTACATTAGTTGACGTTGTTGAGTATTAGATTATTCTGTCTTGGGATTAATTATTATCAAACTATAAGATAATGTTAGTATTATGTTGCAGAATTTGTCACAATTGGCTTCGATCAATCATGATGTGTTATTGCAAAAGGATCCAGCCAAAGGAGGAGGAGGAGGAGCCTCACCTTTCAATAGCCATGGAACGTATAGCGTTGCTACAACCGTCAAAGCTAGCTTTAGTCCACGGATTGGTCTGGTTTGCACCTGCTTTGACATTTGTAGCTGCTGCTGCTGCTGCTGCTGCAACTACTCTCCCTTTTTTTCTACGCGAGTTCGTTACCTTAAAGGTTTAGGGTAACTATTTATGCAGTTTTGTCATAAAATCATTTGGAATGGTTTCAAATGTAAATCTCGAAGCTAATTAATCGTGTGGCAACAGAACTGGCATACCTGCCCACAGCGCAGATCTATTAGATACCCATGTGTATTATCAGATTGGTGTATATTTGAGGGTGATGAAAATAAGAGTGTTTCTGGTTACTGAAAATCATTGCATCCCACTTTGTCAGTCAGTGAGAGATGCCTCTTTAGAGGAAAATTCATAATGTGTTGTTAGATAGTAACATTTTTTTTCATAATGTTGAGTTAAATAGTTTGTTAAAAAGTGTGTAAAATTGCATAAATGGTAAAACCGACCCGACATCCGACATGGAACTCAATTTTTAATTAGATTTTAACCTGTATTTTAAAAGTGCGAAATATTATATATTGTAAAAATCTAATAAAAATACATGAATTGTTTTGTTAAAAATGATAAAATGGTAGATCTATCTTATTTAAATCCATCTCATTTTTGGTGAATACATTTACGTCTCGACCGTTCGAACTCATTTACTTTTAAATCAATAATTTTATCCACTTAAATTCATGTAATTATATTGGTCATCTATTTACATCGGTTTGATTTTATTTTGAGTGACTAAAATCACTTATTTTTTACAAAAATTTTCTTAAGAAAAACTCACATTCAAATAAAAATTGAAAAGAATGATTAGATTTATTATTTTGAACAAAATGGAAAATTAAATCAATTTAATTCATGTATAAAAATCTTAGTATATGGTTGTCATGCTTAGTGTGTTCAAAATAATGTAAATTTAGTTAAACCATAAAAGAAAAATTAGTAAAACAAATTGATACACGTGAAAATTTACAATGAAAGTGAACCACCCTCTACATAGATCAAACAAAATCAAATAATTACACACAATAATTTCTAACCTAGTTTTAAGAATATTCAATAAATTTAAAATTAGAATTAATTATATATATGCTATTTATAAAAAAAATCGTTAAGTATTAAATAATTGAAAGATCCCAATCTTGTAAATTAGCTAAATATTAAGTAATTTAATGTAATACCTACGGTTTATAAGGAAACTCATATTTTCATGTTTTTTATAAATTTATTTTTAATTAATTTACATTTTCCAAAGTCTCTCTAAATGGTAATGATTGTTGTCAAATTTAATAACTCTAGGAATAATAGACATGTCATATATATAGTTTTCCATATGTTGTACTTTTATTTAGAAAGTTGCTTATTTTTTTTGTAATTAATGATATTAATTGGTGGCCAAATTTAGAAATAAGAAGTGTATTGTCTTGTAAATATGATAAAAATCTAAAGGCAGAATCCTAAGTTATTAAAATAGAATTCTGTTTTAATAGTATAGATTATTGTTTGGAGCTTTGTTTTCAATTAATTTGCTTGGTAACTTTTAATTGAACCCGAAGAGTATTAGTGAAATTAAACAAAATGTACTGAATAATCATAAAAGGACAATTTTCTCAAATAGTCTATTTTTAATTTTTCTATATTACAAAAAAAACTCAAAGAAAAAAGGAAATTTGCCTAATTTAACACTTTTTTACCCCTTTTTCACTTATACCTTAATCACTTTTACCATTAAAGTTTTAATAGATAAAATACCATTGTACCCCTCAATCTATTTTCTCCTCCAAATCTTTGTCACCAAATCAAATTAAAGTTGAGACGAGCTCCGATGAGATCTCCGGTGAACTCGCCATCTCCAGCGAACTCGGCCATCTCCAGAGAACTCCGGAGAACTCGATGAGAAAAAAACCTTCGAGAATGTCGATGTTAATGGCTGCCAAATCCACTTCACTCTGCTACTCAAACTCTTCAATCTCATCGAGAATCCAGCTAAACCCACGCGCCGTTAGATGGGCTTACCCGACGGTGAGAATGCAGTCACGCGTTCCACGTCTGATCGAAGAGCAAGGTACGGTGCTCATTCCCAGATTGTACGACGGATTGTCGGAAGCAATCGTGCAGCAGATCGGATTCTCCGCTATGCTGATCTCCGGTTACGCCATGCCTCTATTTGGGGAAAACCAGATTTCGGTTTAATAACGTAATCATGTCCCTTTTTCTTACTCACTAGCTCCTCTTTTCGGCCGTTTCATTTGCTTTCTTATGTTGTTTTTTCCAGACTGCTTAAGATGGCAACAGCAGCGAGGTCAGTTTGTGCTGCGGCTCCGGGCATACCCATCATAGCAGATGCAGGCAAGTCTAGAATATGATATTTAACTCTAACTGTTAATTAACAACTATAGCTTTATGGAATGTGAAATACTTTGTTATCTGATAATGTAAGAATATTTATACTATATGAGATGATGTCTTATGTGAGTTTCTTAAAGATTTGATTATTTGACATTTGTTTAGATACTGGTGGAGGCTATGCACTAAATGTTCAAAGAACCGCAAAGGACTTAATCGCAGCTGGTGCCGCTGGTTGCTTTCTTGAGGTAAAACTATTGTCTGTACTAGTTTATGTTATTTGTAATGTTTACAAATTGAATTTGATTTATATGAGTTTACAAAATGACTTATAAGTGTTTATAAAGACATAAAATGGTTTGCAAAGGTTTCTAATTTGATTATCAGAGTTTTAAACTGATTTATAAAGGTTCAAAAGCTCTCACCTTTTTCAATTTTTATTGACTCTTATCATAAAAAGCTTTAGACTTTGTGATATAGAATCTGAGTCTGCTTAATAGGTTTTAGCTGTGCCTATGTTGACTCCTCACTCATACACAAGGGAAGATGTAATTGAGCTTCAATGTCACGGTAGCAAAGTTTGTCTATGCACACTCTTGTTTTCTCTTTCGGTTGTTGCTCATGATAATATCTATATCTTCTTGGTTTTAGATGATCTCATCAAGTTGTCAAAGAGTGACACCAAAGGGAACAAGCGCAAAAAGTCAAGGAGAGCCAAGGTAGAGAGAACTTCATATAGTGCTGCAAGAGATAATAATACCTCTAAAGAGAAGCATTATGTGAACTCACTTTCTGGAGTTAGCCAGGTTAGATATGGCGTGTGCTCAGCTGATCTGTTTTCTAGGCTTCTTTGTCTTATCTTTTGAAGATTGTTGTTTCTTTTGCTTGGATTCGACTAGTAAGTTTGTAACTTATCTTATAATTTTGCAGGGTGCTGTTGCTAAGAGAGGGTCTAACTTCAAAGGAAATCAGTTTCCTGTCACAACTCGTGAAGCGGCTACTGTTCCTCCACTCCGTGTTCCTAGAAGAGGTTTCAATCCTGGAGGGACGAATAGCGAAAATCAGTCAAGGTCTAGATGCTGGATCATTCTATGAGCTATTTGTTAATCTGGCGTGGTTATGATTTCTTCAATTTTTTTAAGTCACGAAGCGTCTGCTCTAGGTCCTGGTCGCTAGTTGGTCATCATATTGATGACTGCGGTTCAGAATAATAATCCAAATTTATGTAGATGAGTTTATGATGGTACATGGAGGAGTCGGCTACCATTTTTTTTTGGTTGAGGATTTGCGTTAAAGGAGAACAATTGTATAACCTTAAGGTTGGGGCTTCAACTTTTCTCGAGAGTGGAGAGTAGCTACTGGCTAGGCTGTTTGTCTCAAGACTGGTTTAGCATTTGATATGACATCAATTGTTAGGATGTGGCTAGGTCGAGCATGAGTTTATGTTGCTTGAAGTTAGTGTTTATTGTCAGATCAACAAGTTGGGCAATATGCTACTACCGTACTTGAACTTTGATATGCCTTCAGTGGGTTCTTGGAACTCTTTTCCTTCATAATTCAGTGTCCTAGGTGCTACGTCCCATCTTCTTCCTGCATCCTGAAGAATATAGATTTAATTCTCTTCTGGGGTGTGACATTGAATTGTTACTTGGTAGATGTCTGTTACGGTGAAAAAATCAGAAGATTAGACTTCCGGATAGTCATCAATATACATCTCATTGTTACTTGGCTGCAGCATGGGTCATCTCTTGAGCTTGAACCTTTATATTTTGTCTTTGATAAGTTGATTTGTCGGAACAGAGGCCATCTCTTGTTGCGCGCCAAGATGGAAATACCTCAAGAGCTTGCATTTTTTCTGAGTAGTTACTGCGAAATAGGAGTGTGTTAATGTTTGGGGAGCCTCTAAGACTGGGAAGTGAAGTATTACATTGTTTAGTATACAATGGCTATTTGCCATCTTTTTTGTTAGTTGGATTTCGCCTTAGATCCTTCTGTGGTAGTTAGTGAAACTCCGTCGATTTCACTAGCAGAATATATATTTCTCTAACAGCTGTAGCCTCTAAACTATTTCTAAACTTTTTGTAAATTCTTATAAAGCCTTTATAATTTCTTAGAAACCTTTTATATAAACTCTTCATACCCCATTATAAACATTTTATAAAGCCTTATAAATCTTATATAAATTTTTTATAAACATATAAAACCTATATAAAACCTTATTATTAATTTATAAAGCCTTGTATATTCTATATAAAATCTTTATAAACATATATAAATGGTTTGTAAACCCTTTGTAAATTCTTATAAACCCTTATAAACATTTTTAAAACCCTTATTAACCTTTATAAATGGTTTATAAACTCTTATAGGTTCTTTATTAACCTTATATTATGATTTATGAAGTCTTGTAAATGATTTGTAAATTTATTAAAGATTTTATAAATTTAAATGGTTTTATAAACTCTTATTCTCTTTACTCATCTCCGAGAACGGAGCCATCCACGGCAAAGTTAGATTCCAAGAGTCTCTCACGAAGATTCTTAACGATGGGTTTTGATCCCACAACCCCAAAGTTCGTCAAAGTTTACGCATGGTTTTCCAGATGAGTGAGGAGACGATTCAAGAGAAAGTTAACGTGTACAAAAGGTTAGGGTGAGTGCACAAGAAGTATGGGAGATGTTCAAGAAGTGGCCTACTTTCATGACCAACTCCGAGAAGAAGATAATTCAAACATTGAAAACGTTCAAAAAGTGTGGACTAGTGGAATAAGAGATCCTCGTAGCGTTCAAGAAGTTTCTGCAGTGCATCGGTGCTTCGGAGCATAAAGATTTAATTAGCTATAAAATTTTATAAAGGCTTATAAATTATGTACAAGAGTTTTTAATCATTTAAAATATTTTAATATTCAGCTCGCAGAGAGAAGCTATGCTCAGTTTTACGATTTATGTGTGTCTTCTGATAGGATTGTTGCTACTTCAGTTGTGCTTTATTACACATAGGTCCAATACGTTGATGAAATATGGAGAAAAATACAATACAAAAATATTTTGTTATGTTGCAGTTTATGCTGGAGAGAAGCAAAGACGATCATCTATACTACCATGAAGTTTAATTAGAGTTTTTGTATTGTAAGCTAATAGTAGAAACACTTCGGTTTTAATAGAGTAGATTTAATTTTCCTTTTAAGAGATCGGTTTAGGTTTAATGGATTAGATGTTTGGTTTAATTTAAGTTGCCTGATTGTATTTACTATGTAGCGTCAAATTAAATATTCAAATGGTCCATCGTAGTTAAAACAATCACATAGTCCAAAAATTAATGACAATTTTGTAAGTAGATATAAGTTAGGATTTTATTTTAATAGAGTAGATAAAATGAACTGTAAAAGAATGATGTTCTTAAATAAGCAAAGAAATGGTGGAAAGTTGGTTAATTTGGTGATTTATAAACTCTTATAAATAGATTTATAAACCTTGTAAATTATTTATAAACATTTATAAATAAATGTATAAACTCTTATTAATAGCTTATAAGTTCTTGCAACTAGTTTTATACACCCTTTTAAATAGTTTTATAAACCTTTATAAATAGTTATATAGATATTTATGTGTTTTATAAAATTTATAGATGGTTGACATAAGGTTTTATAAGATCTTATAAACTTTATAAATGGTTTTATAAACCTTTATAAATAATTATATAAATAATTCTATGGTTTTATAAACTTTTTTTTATAAACTCTATATAAACTCTTCAAAACCTTTTTTTAAACCCTAACAAATCTTATATACAATTTTAATAAATTCTTTAAACCCTTTATAAACCCTTATATAAAATGTTTATAAACACATGTAAGTGATTTTGTAAACCCTTTTAAATTCTCATAAACCATTATAAATATTTTTAACATTTTGTGATGACTTGAAAAAAAAAAAAACTTATGGGAGCTACAAAGCAGGTTATTTTAATTGCTTGTCAATGGTCTTCCAACTCGATCTGAGATCACATATGTTGCAAATGGCATAAAGTCGAAAAAAATTCACCAAAAGTAAACATGATCCTGCTAAACATTTCTTTGTCTAATTATGGAGTTTGGATATTTTTGCAGGGCGAGCTGTGTGATGTTGAACAAAAGCAATCATATAGTTGAAGTTGTTTCGATGTTGGATACTATCCTTCAATACCTCCTTTCGTGAATTGTTTTGATGCTAAACTTTACTGGTAATAGTTACTATATATATGCTAAACAATACCTCCTTTACTGGTAACCTAAACTGATTTTGCAGACAAAGCCCAAACAAGAACTTGTAAATTGTATTACAAAGAAGCACGTTTCCTTTATCCTTATTTCAAATCATCGATTACGGTTGCTATAGTTTATTCTTCTCTTCATTTGATTGAAAGCATTATGGAAACTAGAATTAGGGGTCATGAATTAAGAAAATCGAATACATATATTCTCTTCTTAGTATATATATGGGCTCATAGTAAAGCTTCTAAGACATCATTTCTATCCTATTTCGCTAATAAGCTTCACGGTTTTTTCCTTTGTTTAAGTTCTAATTGTATTTTCTCGGTTCTAATGTCTCAGTCACAATGGTTGACAAAGTCAGGTGGTAAAACTGTGGAGGTTTCCAAACCCAAGTTGAAGATATCGGTGCCAAGGTTTGATAAGACGGAGCTCATTGCACAATATGGCAAAACGGTGATTGGGAGATGTATGAATCCTCCCAAGCAAGAGATGAAAAATCTGCTCTTAATGTTGCCACGATTTTGGCAAGTTGAGGGGCGTGTGGTGGGAGCTGACTTGGGGTTGGGTCGTTTTAGATTCGACTTTGACCATGAAGAAGACATTATCGACGTCATGAAGATGGAGACATTTCACTTTGACCATTGGATGGTCTCTTTGGTGCGTTGGAAGCCGGTCCTAGAACCTAACTATCCATCACGCATCACCTTCTGGGTTCGGGTGATCGATGTCCCTATGCAGTTCTGGGCAGAATCCACGTTCTGCAGCGTGGGTGCAGCAATAGGCCAGGTCATTGGGGATGTGGATTTGATGGAAGGTAGAGTGAGAGTGGAGCTGGATGGGTTTAAGCCATTGATTTTTTCAATGGAAGTTGATTTCGAAGAAGGAGTGGAGCTTGAGGTGAAGCTACGATATGAGAGACTCTCCGGGTTTTGTAGAGTTTGTTGTCGCATGACACATGATCAAACGAGATGTCCAGATAAAGAGACAGAAGCCAAAGATTTGATTGCATCAGATGCGGTTGTAGATCAAGGTCAAAAGGCCATGAGTTATAAAACTGCTGTCGGCAGTGAAAGTAACTTATATGGTGCTCCCAACGAGAATACTAGGATGCGTCAAAGCGGTATCAATGAGCGAGCCAAAGGAAAGGGTGTAGCACAAGATACTCATAAGGAGTATAAACAAGGTGGTCGCTATCGTGGGCTGAGAGACAGACCCATACGTGAAATTGGAGAGGGTTCATCTAGAGGTGGAAGACAAAATAGCTATGGCATGCCTAGAGAAGATCAACGACGTTTTACCATTAACTCCAGAGGAATCCAACAATTGAGGAATGGCCAGAGAGGGAATCTAAATGAGCACGAGCAGCTCATGATGGATGCCTTCAAGGAGCCCTCTCAAGTGCCTGCGAGGGATCAGGAAAAGGCCAGGGTGGAAAAGTCTTCCAGTGCTAGGAAATCTCTAAATTTTGAGACAACGGTGGACTTTACTGAGAATGTGCTGTTGCCTCAGGGTTCTAGCAGTAATGTGGAGATGGTTCCTGATCGTCAAATGGAGACGACCGAAGACTTGGATACGGTGATTGATGATCAACCGTTGGCTTTGGATGAAGCTAATCTGATGTTGGAGGGAGTATTATTGTCGGATTCTGAGCTGGTAGATGAGGACTTGGAGGATGGTGAACTCCCGGAGCTCATGGAAGAGATGGAGGAGATGCAGTACACTGTTAATGTGTCTGAGACAACCCATGAGGATAAGACCACAAAAGAAGAAACAAACGCAGAAGAGGGCCCTGTCAAAGTGTCTAAGAAGAAAAGCATCAAAGCAGGGATCAACAAGACCCGTC